GACAAGCACAGAAATCAATGGCCCGCTGACATTGTGCTAGTCAAAGTCTAATTTCAATATCTAAATCTACCAATCCAGGGATTCAGAAGTAAAAATTTGGGAACTTACATCCAGTATCGAGTAAATCTACCATCCGCACTCGCCGATTCTTTCCCCGACAATTGCATGGTGGTTTAACATCGCGAAACACTTCGTTTGGATTGCCCCAGTTTGAAGTGCAATCACGGCTTTCCAAAAACAAAGGTAGGTTCACCACGTATTGTCGAATCCAACGCTGCTCTTGCTGAAGCCTGCGATATTGAGAAGCTGATGCGTTGAGCATCCCGACGAGGGGATCCTCATCCTCATCCTCATCCATGTCCATGTCGATCCATCCCATCTCGTTTTCATCAAGGGGCTGATGGTGTGGGTTGTTCAGATCACCTTCGTGAGGTAAATTATTGTCTCCTTGAGTGTCATCTTCTGTAGTCGGGGTTGATGATGGGCCAGCTGTACGGACCACATTCTCAGTAGGCGCTCGCAGCTTGAGTTCCTTCAGTTCAGCTATTCTGCGATCGTGGACCTTTTTTTGAAGCTCTGTCGCGTTTTTTGGCAACTTTCCAAGGGCCTTGAAAGATGGGACTTTTCTTTTGCCGGCCATAGTGTAGGTTTGAAGGAGTGAAGATGTCCTGAATGGTGTATATACTATTGGTCTACGTATCAGAGGTCGGTGCTTGATTCATTGTGCAACGTCTCCAAAAATCCACCTATGTCTCCTATTGATGATCAATAAGATTTTTTTTTCACATCTTACAATCCAGTCTAAGAAAGGTTTATGTCCTAATTTGGCCATTTAGTATTTGTTGGTGATGTCATTACCGGAACCGTCAAATCTCAATTCGGAAGGTTGAGAGGGTCTTGCAAGTTGTTGACATGGTTAAGTTGTCAAGTTAAGTGGTATTCACAACTCAAAAGATAACATCAATTTCTCGATATGAGCACGTAAAACAGCATTGACGGCCTTGGTCCCATTTCAGAAATCCAAGAGCTGGCATAAATAAAACTCAAATTATTGACTCTTAATAAAAAAGAAGAAAGAAGGAAGGGCAAAGGACAAAGCAAAAAAAGTTGTAAGGTTGTGTGATGAAGAGATGAAGAGACTGTTTTGATTTGGCTAACTACCCAAAGGTGGATGCTGCAACCAAAATACTCAAGATTCCCTTTCACCACCTCATTTAATGATAATTGCAACACATAGGATTTAAATTAACAACACGAGGACAGTGAAACTGTTTTCTCTTATCACTGCCCTTTCTTATAACTGATTAGTAATGTTGTTCAAACATTGAGAACAAATATTAATCTTACTTAAAGGCATGTTTTGATGGTTGCTTGACCATCAAAACATGTCAATAGTGATTCATATCTAGTTGTGAAGAACACCTAACCAGATATCCAGGTTATGCTGAGCTAGATCAATGCAAAATATCTGAACAAATCTCTTGATGTATCAAGATTGATTGGAGTGAATACACTTGACCATGTATCCAAGTCCATGATTTGGGTATGACCTTTTGATCCACTCCTAATATCAGAAACCAGTCAAGATGAGATGATATCATTCATCATTGTGTGTATTGAAGACACTCAACGTAGAGAAACTACTTGAGACGCTTTGATTGGACTTGAAATTATCTCTCAACTAACTAAACAGATCCCAACAAACCAAACCAAAATATTGATAGCCAAGATGCTTGGTGTCATGATTCACAATACTTGGAAAACTAGATGAGAGAAAATGAGTTTACAAGATGACCATACTTCATCCTTGTTAGGACAAAGCTAAACCTTCCACTTATCCAATTTTTAAAAGCAGAATATATGGATGTCCGCTGATGTTTGTATTGTATCACTTCTTACTTTTACTTCTTGAAATAGATTTGAAATCTTTGTTAACAAAAAGTGCTCACAATCATCAAGCAATCAAACTTTTCATTGTCAACTTCCAGTTTAACAACTAGATGAAAGAAGCTGTGAAGGATTGATGAAGGGAGAATGTTTAAACGCTGACAACCACCGCTGAACTTGGAACTATCAAGTCTTGGTTTACAACACATTTATTGTCTTGTTTATCTTTATGACTTCATGCTTTAAAACTCAACGAGTTGATTGTAATTGCAAAGAATGAATGTAGATATAACCAAACAATCATTTAGCAGTCATTCAAATGAGATCTTTACAACTCAACATATAATCATGAACTTGGAACCATCATATGTTTGTTTAAAACTCATCAACTTCTTGTTTGCTCCACATAAGTAAAACTAAATGTATTTAAACTCAACAACATTTGAAAAACTACAAGTGAACAGAGAAATTTAAAACTCGACATATGACTATCAACTCGGAACAGTCATTACTCATCGACTTCTTTTGTTTTAATGGCTCTATTCACGCTTTTCACTGCAAACATATAGATATAACTAATAACTAACACTAAAACTTTTCAACATTTGATAAACTTCAAGAAGGGACATATAGAATGACAGAGATATTCTTAACTTCAAGTGAGTGACTACATACTTCAAAACTTAAACAAGTCGATTAAAATGGAAATATAACATATGAATGTAACACATAGTAAGATCCTAAACGTTCAAAACTCAACAACTTTTAACAAACAAACAGAATGGACATGTAACTCCTACTCAAATGACTCGGCGAGTGCTGCGACTGCTTGCCCGCGTGCAAGGGGGCTTAGCAGGTGGCAATTTCTTTGAGTGACTTTGTTTCTTCGATTTTTTGAGAGTCCCAGTGCCAGATTCTTTGCCATCAGACAAGTTAGCAGACAAGTTAGCTGGGGCAGCGCGCTTTGCCTTTGAAGCGCCTTGATGCTTCTAATAGAGATGACTAGTCAGTCACTGAAGAACGAGAAATCAGTGACAAATACTCACTTCTTTACCAATGGGATCGGGGATCCCTTCCTTGAGTGCTTCTACTGATGGCAATCCTTTCTTGAGTTTCTCGATTTGTAAGACTTTGCCCGGAGTGCTGACGATGTTATTTTCCTCCACGAGGTTATCGTTTGCATTGTACTGGATATAGATAGTTAGAGAAGTCACAACGTGGATAGTCTTTAAACATGGGAGATTGTTTACTTACAATTTTGATTATTTCTTCGTTCTGAGCCACCATATGTACCTCATCGGTTTTGATTACCTCATCGCTTTTGATCACCTCATCGGTTTTGATTACCTCATCGGTTTTGATTACCTCATCGGTTTTGATGCACTGGATACACATAATCGAACAAGTCACCAAACGGATAGTGTTCAAAAATGAGGGATGTTGTACTTACACTTTCTATTGTTTCTTTGTTCTCAGTCACCATACATACCTCATTGGTTTCGATCGGAGACAAAGCCACCAGTGTAGGACTCTGAAAGATTCATTCAGATTTGTTTTTAACATATCTGTTTGATCTAGGTGAGGTACTTACAATGTTTGTGCGCATGGCAATGGCAGTGTACTTATCCAAAAGTAAATCTAACTCTTGCAAGATCAGTTTCTGTTTTCTTGGGGATAGTTGGAGGATACGCGATGCTCGGCCGATGATTTCGGGTGGATAAGGATTATGATTGACCTGTGTACAGAAGCCACACATGAGTCCCAACCAAATTGAAATCATCAGAAGGAAGTAGAAAGGAAAGTTACGGACAACCGGTACCGGTTGTTCATCTGACATCGCTTCATGGTTGTGGCCGAGTTGGACATGAGTAAGGTGCCAAACGTCAGTAGATGGAGTGTACTTGGCTGTGAGATGAAAAGGGCATTGAATTTTGATTGATCTGCTGGCTCGTAAGGGCTTCTCCTCGGTCGTAGTGGATGACATGGTAGAGGTATTGGGCTTCGGTTTGTGAGGTAGACCACTTCGATGACAGTGATAGTGGCAGATGTTGCACTTATCGTTTGACGAGTGTCGTATGGAGATCTTGTAGCCGTGTGATTGTGACGGAAAGTCCTTGACATAATCATCCATCTTTTTCCGCTCACCCTTGATATCAACTTCAGGCGGAGCCGGAAAGACATTCCATAAGGGGTAGTGAGCCGGACCCATCGTATTGACAACTCAGATATAAAAGAGTGGTGGGCTGGTGAGGGGGTGAGCTGGGTCGATAGTTAGACCGGAAATCGGATAAGAATCGGAAGGTGGTGGGCTGGTGAGGTAGTGAGAGTGAATCGACCAGTATAAGAGAGAGGAGATGGTGGACTGGTGAGCCTTTTTGCTATTGAGGTTTGATTGTAGTGGTCACCGTCCGATGGTGATATCTAAATGAATTTTAAAGACCAGCCTGTGGGATAGCTGCGGAATGACACTTCAATCAAACAACTGTTCAATGCATGTATGATTGTACAAATGGAGGTTATGGGGGTATTCGACACCCACGGTCCATTTTTGAATCAACATAAACAAGTATAATGACTTCGATGTAATTGAAATGGATGCATTTGTCAACTAATAATCTTAGAAATGTGAAATGTAAAGAGACTACTAACCGCAATAAAAATCTAAAAGGTTTGAAACATTGGGATCATAATGAAAAGTATTTAAACAAGGAAACAAATAAGGATCAAATAGATCAATTGCATTTGATTGTATTGCTGAGAGACGTAGAGTACAAGAAGCAAAAACTGCATTGTACTCTACGTCTCTCGATTGTGTTTAGATGGTAATTGTCCTTTCTTGAACTGGGTGGTCTCACTCAACATTCTGAACCATCTTTCTTGATTGATTGATCCGATAAATGACAAAAAATGTATTTTAATGACTAACAACATACAAAACTGACAAGTAATTACAATAGGAAATATTTGGGAGTGGAAATGGTTGGGAATTAAATAAAAGGGAAACCTAATCGCCATTTTTAAGAATAACTGTATAACGTTTGGCTTCAATCTCTTCAAGCCATAATCGAACGTGAGCCATAGTCATGTTGCCAGGGGCTGCTCCCTTGGCGAGCATAGCATCAGTGACTTTACAGTCAGGGGTGCGGGCAACTTTGAGTTGAATGTCTTGTAGGAACTTCTTCTGTTCAAGTTGAGCATCGGAGTTAGGTCCTTTGGGATGGATGTCAATGCCTTGGCGAGGCGTGTAAGGAAGTTGAGCCTCTACATATGAATTGATAGACAAGTCAAGATCGTTGTGCAGGTTTCATATGATGAAAAGTGTAAATTAGGTTGGGACTGACCGACAAGTTTGTTTAGATTTGTGGTGAGCTGCTGTCTCAAAACAGTTTGTTGCTTAATTTGAGTTGTTGTTGGTTGTGGCTTTTTGGATGGAACCTTGAAGACGTCGCGGGGGCACTGAGTGGACTCCTTTGCAAAGTTCTCAAGTAAGTGATGTTCTGATTTGACCAAGTCGGCCCATCTTGCACAGGATGTGTATTCCTCCATCCATAGGGCCTTGGCGAGCTTGGTCTTGGGATGAAAAGATGCGACTAGCAAGTGAAATTCGATGTCATACTGGCTGTGAAAAGTGTGAAGCTTGAAAAACGAAAGGGGGAGATAGAATGCTAGAGAATAAGAATGGTGGGGTTGTGCATTCAGGTGGAAGACAACATATAAGATTCATACTTGTTTAACAAGCTTGCCCACTTCTACCCGTCCTTTCTTTTCTGTTTGTAGGCTTTGTCGCTCGGCTAGGCATCCACGCTCGAAATGCTTCTCGACTTTCTTCATATTGACGAGTTCTTTGAAGTCGCTGAGGTACGGGGTCAAGTCAGAGGGGTTGTGGGGATCTTCGTTGGGTTGAATGTTGATAACGGAGCTTGACTGAATCTCTTGAGGCTGTAGAACATTCAGTGCAAGTCTTTTGAAGAGTGGTGGATGAAAGACAGCCTTCTGAAGAGGCTGTAGGCCTGTCCATGATCTACCAATGGCCTTGTTTCGAGGTACAAACCCACGTGATGTGTTTCGGGGGGGCACTGATAAGAGAGATGGTCAGTTTGGTTAATGATTAGTTTTTCATGAGATGTAAAAACGTACTTGATAAGTCTTGTGTGGTTTTCTTGCTGTACGTTCGATATTCATCATACGAGGTGATAGGACGCTGTGAGGGACCCATGAATCTAGAATTTAATATGAATAAGGTACATCACTGTAAATTCTGATAATGGCCTGATGTATCACTTACAGAGCAGCCTTCAACGTTGGATAGCTTACATGGCCAGCTAGACTCAATATCTTGAGTGACCGGTGAAAGATTGATTGAAGGGCAAGAGCTTCGGACACAATCTCTTGTGAAGGTCGATTATTGGATCGAGTCTTTCGAGTAGCTAAAAGTTTGTCAATGTACGCATCTGTCCAGTCCTCTCCGACCGTATTGTAGTTATTCAAGGTCGGGATAATGGCGTCGGCTTCCAGTTTCTGGATAACATCGTCTTCCTCATCTTCATCTTCCGTACCTCGTCCATCATCGGAATCAGAATCACGCTCGGTTTCGGAATTTTCGTCTATTTGATTTGCGAGAAAGACCAAACAGATCAGCACGCCAGTTTAGTTGTAGACAGCTTTTGGTGAGTAGAAACACTACCAACCAGATGAGGATTCCCTCCGATGTCGCTTGAGTTGTGATTTTTTCTTTGTGGCTGGGTGAGGTCGATGACCAGCGGATCGTGTCGCTGGTGCCATACGTTTGCAAGTTAGAGCGGTTTGAGGGTGTAAGTTGTGGGGGTTTGGGAACACTATTGAGGTTGAGTCTTGAGATACATGAATCGGTTCAATGAGTTGATGAGATTCAGATGTTACACAAGCTCACGAGTACTTTAGTATGAGTATGTACAGGGGCTGGTGCGCTGGTTAGTGGTGAATTTTGTACTTTACACGAGCTCACCAGTGGGTGTAGCTGGTGAGCTGGTGAGTGGTCTGTTGGGTGATAGGCTGGTGAGGAGTGCAATTGGTTGGTGAGCGGTGAATTTGTGTTTTACACAAGCTCACCAGCGGGGTTGACTGGTGAGCTGGTGAGTGGTATGTTGGCCGTGTTGAGCTGGTGAAGGGTCCCTTAAGGAATGGGGACTTTGAATTTTTTTTGTTTCTGAAGAGCAGCAGCTCTCAAGCTCCTCAGCTCTCAAAGGAGTTTTCGGACTCCATTCGAAGATACAGGCTTCGTTTTCTTCGGATAGTATCCGAGGATATGCGTGGCCACAGGTGATCATAATTCGTTTTCACGTTTGAATATGTGAAAATTTTAGTCCACCCTTATTCTGAGTGATATGTTGTATTGTGTGATTGGACATTACTTATGACGTATGAACCTCAATTTACCGTGCTGTGTTACTTATTCCCCCCGCTGCGTCTTCGCCTGACAGGCTATGACGCTGTGAACTATCCACAATATAGTACTCACATAACCTGTCTTCCTTTTACAGTAGACTCTGAGAAAACCGATAGTTGTCAAAAGCGATACTCTGGAAAACCCGATACTTTTTGGGTCAAATATATTTTATTTGCAGTAAAATGGGTTGGAAAACCGATAAACCTGTCAAACCCGATAAGCGATACTTTTTTTTTGGTTTCCCGGGTTTAAAACCGATAATTTAGGTGGTTGTGCGACTTGTGGTTTTCGTTTTTTTGTGCTTCTTCCCGTTCTGTACATCCTTTTTCATTGCAAAAGCTTCACCTGGCATTCACAATTATAAGTTTTCATATCATGCTTCCTAAGGACCTCTCTACATACAACATTTCTCACATTGAGAAAGGATTTGAGGCATTGAAATCCGAAAATGATGCTTGATTAAAACCTTTGAAAGAATTGATGAGCTCAGGAAAAAAACTTACTGAAGCTGAAGAACGGTTCATGGATCAATCAGCTAACCTTGTTGACAAGTGGAAGGTGGTGGAACACATCAAAGAAGTTGGAGATGTTGCTCGTGCTGCCATTGACCTTAACAAGGAGGAGAAGGCTGCATTGGAGGTGCTAATTCTCAAGGCTGATCAAACACGTCCAGTGATGTTAAAAGCAGTGAACAGTGAGTCTATGAACTTTTCATCGTGATCAATCGAAGTTGTCTTTCTCAAATGGATGATGTTTTGACCTTTGAACTGTGTTTCTAGAAAAGCGTAAAAATACGGAAACTTTGAAGCCAAACCCTTCCACCAAAAACAAAGTCGAAAATAAAAAGGCAAAAGTCGTGAAGAAGGTCAACCCAACGCTTGCTCAGCGAATTGAAATCCTAGACTGGCATCATGCTAATGGGGGCAAGCAAACTAAGACCGCTCAAAGATTCAAAGAATTGTATCCCGAGCTCCGATTTGGACAGCCTCGGCTTTCGGAATGGTTGAGGGAAGAGAAAGAGACCCAGTTCCGAGCCGACTATAATTCTGGGGTTGGTCTGAACTCCAAGCGAATCACTTCAACCGAGCACCCTCAAGTTACTCAAGCACTTGAGACTTGGGTGACTCAGGCTGAACACTTGGGGCTTATCTTAAGTGGCTCAGTGATGCGTACGATGTGGAATCGCTTTGCGGACCTCTTCAAGGTACCAGATGAAGACCGACTCCGTCTCTCTGAAGGATGGTTGACCAGTTTCAAGAGCCGAACGGGCCTGCGTTCCGTCAAACGTCATGGTGAGGCTGGTTCAGCTTCACCTGATACTGTTGCTGCAGAGAGGTCTCGTGTGCGTGCAATCACGGATCTATACGATCTCGCCAATATCTATAATATGGATGAGACTGGCCTATTTTATGGGTACGTCTTTTTTACAATAATTTAGCCCTCCTTTCATTTTGCTGATGTACTTTACGCTTCTGTAGAATGCCACCAGACAAGGGATTAGCTTTCAATGCAAAGTCTGGGATCAAGTCAGACAAGCGTCGCCTGACATATGCTTTTGCAATCAATGCCGACGGATCCGATAAGCGTCGTCCTTTCATCATAGGAAAAGCTCATAAACCTGTATGCTTTCATGGGAAGACAGGCGAGCAACTCGGCTTCTACTATCGGAACAACACGAAAGCTTGGATGCAGACTGGAATCTTTATCGAGTGGATTGAATCCTGGGATCAGGAGCTTAGATTGGAAGGTCGCAATATATTACTTCTTGTAGACAACTTTTCCGGTCACTCGGTTGACCCAGACAGACCTTTAACAAACATCCACCTCGAATTCTTCGCTCCAAATCTTACATCTCATGTCCAACCACTTGATGCGGGTATCATTGCCAACTTCAAGTGTCATTACCGATCCGAATTTATCAACTACGCGATTGATCGTTACGAGCTCCAAATCCCAATTGGTGAGATCTACAAGATTCATCAACTGGATGCTATGAAGCTTGCTTCCGAGGCGTGGTTTAGGGTCTCTGACACGACAATCGCAAACTGCTGGCGAAAGTCAGGTATTCTGTCCGTTCGAAATCCTGATGGATCGGTCAAGGGTCAGGATAATCATGACCATACTGAAGATTCCAATTCAGATCCGATAATCGATGACGAAGCTACAGAGACTTTAAGATCCGACTTGGACAGTCTTGAAAGGTTGAATCTTGTCCATAAACCAAACCGAATGTCACTCTCTGAGCTTCTCAATCCAATTGGCGAGCATTCAAGTGGTTTAGAAGAATGGACACCCGAAGAGATTGTTGCAAGCATAGAAGAAGAAATGAAAGAAAAGGCTAAAGTTGAGATAACACCACCACCACCTCGACCAACTCATCAAGAGTTCCTCAAAGCTTCAGAGATCATGTTGGGATTTATGGCCTATGAAGAAGATAATGTAGCAAAAGGGTGGGAACGTGCTATTAGGGCCTCAGTAAGACATTACCGCTTAGTCCGTGCCCAAACTGCCAAGCAGCAAACCCTCACAACTTTCTTTTTCAAAGATTCTTAAACTGTTGTTATATATCTTTGTCATAACCGATAATTTTGCTGCAATTTGATTTTTATCGGTTTTCTCAGAGTTTTGATAAAACCGATACTCTGTCAAAACCGATAGGATTGGCCCCAATTTTTCGATTATCGGTTTTCTCAGAGTCTACTGTATCTTTCCCAGTCACGCACATCATGGATTGTACAGTAAACACAATTACTGCTCGGGATGATGTGTACCTCAAGCCGTTGTTTGATCACACTGCCTTGTCGTCACGGAGGTGTTTTGTTCACGGGTCAGGAAGTCGAGTACTGAGTCGGGTACTCGATTGTGTTGGGCGTATTTGCAAGACTACTTCGGTGTGTTCGGGTCGGTTTGGAGCAATTTTGTGACCTGATCAGGTTTCCCCTCGCACACTTCTCTGATTCTTATTCGTCCTAGCAAATCGTTCGACTTGTCTACCGCCGTATTAATCTTTTACTCTGTTGAGGCCTTAGAGCATCAGCACCGGGCCTTGTAAAAATTTAAATACAGGCCGTTTTACAAAGCCGTGAGAATAAAACTGAGGCACCGGACCTTGCAAACGGCCTGTATGGTTTACACGACGCGTATAATCATACCTTGAACTTGTAATAATGGACTGCAGCGTATAATCCTAGAATCGCCCCAAAGGACCAAACGTCTGAACTTAACCCACCAATATCGGACGTACAAAGTCCTACCGTCAAACAAAACAAGCACCTCAAGCCCGCTTGGGCAATGTATTATTTGGACTTTCCAGCTTTTGCAAAGCCTCGGTTTCGCCAAAACTTTACAATGTTCTGCGAGAATAGGCATACACGTTCTTGTCTGTCAACTTGGTGTCATACAGCGAACGAATCGGGCCCTATTTTACAAGGCCCGGTGCTGATGCTCTTATAAAAAGTGTGCGTTGACACCCAGCTTCAATGCTTAGCAACATCGAGTTCTTATCTCCTTATCACTCGAGTGTGGTGCCGTTCGTTTTTTTTATTCTCTACCCTTCACGTCGCATCATTTGCAGTCTGGCATGTCATTCCACCGATTCGATATCCTGTACCGTCTTTAATAATCGCGGTCATATAGGGATGAAGTAAATGAATCCACCGCTGGATTATTCCCCTCTGAAATTGACGCAGCGACATTTATATTCCCATGCGCCTTTCATGGAAGCGTCTCTGACGGTGTTCGTGTCATCATTCACTCTCCGAACCTCTCATCCCAATTGAGTGAATATGATTCAATCTCAATTACACGGACTGCAACTGTGACTACGAACTCATTGATTGTTGTATGGCATACTACCGGTGCAATGATTGCAATGACGAGTTTATGGACACGGGGAATTGTCAAATGGTACCTCAAATGGACAGCCAGCACT